TCGTCTCCCAAACGCTCTACTTTCCACCGGAACACTTTCCTCTGTTTCTTACTCTCCATCTTTCTAGATCGGTCGATGTTTGCCCATATGAGGAAGTATGTCTATCGCACTTACGTGCAGCTCTGGTATCTGCGTGCTCCCCCTATCTACCTGGATGTAGTCGAGGATCTANCTAAGATCCTACTCACACGCCGGGATGGAGCGTACACCAACGTCCAGCCATTATGTACGCTCCACCATGGGTTGCTACGCCACTTTCGCTCCCGAGTAGACCTATCTGCCGAAACTTTGGTCAACAATTCCTTACTGCTTTATACTCGCCTCTCTCCAATCGAAAACAATGCATTGTGCGTGCCGCACATCTAGCTCCGCAGTTTTTGCGTGGTTGGTCCGGTCGTTCAGCTTGCTCGACGTGAGTAATAAGCTTTGCTTTGATGGCTCTATGTTTTATCGATCCACTTCAAGCAACGAACACCCCCCCCCCTCCACCGTCCGATCCATTTTAGATCTCACGCCGGAGAGTTTTGTGGTGTCTTAGCTCTAAGTCCTCTACCGCCCAATGGAGGACTGAAATATTATTTTAATGCCGTACCAATAGGCATTAACTTTAGGAAGGCTTGTGCTTACTTTAGACTNGCAGTTTTTGCGTGGTTGGTCTGGTCGTTCAGCTTGCTCGACGTGAGTGGTAACCTTTGCTTTGATGGCTCTATGTTTTATCGATCCACTTCAAGCAACGAACACCCCCCCCCCCTCCACCGTCCGATCCATTTTGGATCTCACGCCGGAGAGTTTTGGGGTGTCTTAGCTCTAAGTCCTCCACCGCCCAATGGGGGACTTTAGTATTTATTTTATTGCCGTACCAATAGGCATTAACCTTAGGTAAGCTTGTGCTTACTTTGGACTGTACCCTCCTCATCCTCTGGGGGAGGTAGAGAGGGGGGGGGGCGCATGGCCTCTATTTTTCAGGGGGGGTTCGGGTACTGGCTGGGGGTCGGGTCTATGTGTACCGCATTTTCGAATTGTCCCGTCACTTTAGCTACTGTGGATTTTCAGTATACAGCTATCCTTACTCAACGCGTCTATGTGTCCGGCAATCTTTAATACAAATCAACCTGTAAGGTTGTAGTATGCAGCTTTCGTCACTCAATGCGTCTATGTGTCCGGCAGTCGCAAGCGTCGCTCAACCCGTTAGGTCTCAATATGCAGCCATCCTCACTCAAATCGTCCATGTGTCTGGCACAATCAACGTCACTCAACTCGTGAGCTTTCGAATGTAGCTATCCCCGTTCAGCTCGTCCATGTGTCTGGCAAACTCAAAAACCAATCCATCTGTGAGATTTCAGTATGCAGCTATCCCTACTCAACGCGTCTATGTGTCCGGCAAACTCAAAAACCAATGCATCTGTGAGGTTTCAGTATGCAGCTATCCTCACTCAACACGTCTAGGTGTCTCGCAATCTCCAATACAAACAACCTGTGAGGTTCAATATGTGTCTATCCTCATTCAACGCGTCTATGTGTCCGGCACTCCAACATCACTCAACCCGTGGGGTTCCAGCAGCTATCCCCACGCAACCCGTCTATGTGTCTGGCATCTCAAACCTCACTCAACCCTTGGGGTTTCAGTATACAGCTATAATCACGCAACACGTCTATGTGTCCGGTGATCTCCTACATCACTCAACCTGTGAGGTTTCCGTGAGCTATCCTCACTCCACGCATCCATGCGTCACGCGTCTTTCGTAGCGCATACTATGGGGGCTATATTTGGGGTGGCGTTGTTTTACAGCGCTTTGCCAACAGCGCCACCCCACTTCAGTCTAGAGGGGGGCGGGGGTTGTACTCATCGTCGTGCATGCCGTAGTCGTTAGACCATTGACCTTGCATCCCTACAATGCCGGGACGGAGCACGCCGGGTTCTCACCGGACCAGGCTCTCACATCACCAAGCGCGAAGCGCGATGAGATATTCAGCGAGTCGCATGAAGGGTGCGCTGCATCCTGCTAAGGGTGTTCGGCATCTTGTGCTTACTTCCTTGCGTACGGATGACAGCTGCGTATGAATTAATTTATTTTCTGGTGCTTTCACTTCCAGAGACAGTTGTAAGCACTGTGTAACTGCCTCGAGGGTGCTTGACCATTTTAACACAACGTGGTGCGATCATCCCCCTTGCGCGGAGTGAGGGTTCACCCCGCACAACATGATCTACTCAACCATCATTATGGTTACCGCCCAAAAAAAATAAACGGAGGAAAAAAAAAAAAACGGTAACCTGGTTGCCGAGTTCACGAAGTGAATTGGCTTGTTTTACAACGTCGTTGCCAAGCGACGAAAACCCAATCCCGATAGGCAAACACCGGGGGGGGGGGGGTGTACTCATAGTCGTGCATGCCGTAGTCGTTAGACCATTGACCTCGCATCCCTACAAAGCCGGGACGGAGCACGCCGGGTTCTCACCGGACCAGGCTCTCACATCACCAAGCGCGAAGCGCGATGAGATATTCAGCGAGTCGCATGACGGGTGCGCTGCATCCTGCTGAGGGTGTTCGGCATCTTGTGCTTCCTTGCATATCGATGACAACTGCGTATGACTTATTGTATTTTCTGGTGCTTTCACTTCAGTCATAAGCACTGTTACACTACCTCGAGGGTGCTTGACCATTTTCGCACAACGTGGTGCGATCATCCCCCTTGCGCGGAGTGAGGGTTCTCCACCCCACACAACATGATCTACTCGACCACCATTATGATTACCGCCAAAAAAAGACAGAGGTAAAAAAGAATAAACGGTAACCTGGTTGCCGAGCTCACGAAGTGAATTGGCATGTTTTACAACGTCGTTGCCGAGCGACGAAAACCCAATCCCGATGGCAAATCCCGGGAAGGGGGTGTGGGGGGGGGAACGGTAAATTGTGTACGGTCTTGTACGGTACTCGTCATCGCAAACCAAGGACGTTGTTTCATAGTGAGAGGGGGCGGTGGGGAGGTTCCATAGTGTAGCCAAGGCGGGATCGGGGAAGGCCTACTGATGCGAGTGACGCTTTGGGAGCATCGACAACGTGGCCACGACCGTCTTGGTCTAGTCGACAAAGCTTCGATAGTTGTGAGGCAGACGGGAGTGATGTGTTCACAGCCGGGGTAAAAATGGTTTCGACAGCAGTCCTCTTCAACTGAGTAGCAGACAAGGCTGTTTTTTGTTGACACGGCGGCTGGGAGTGAAGCTTTCACAGTAGGGGGACGACGGTGACGGCAGCAGTCCACTTGTAGTCACAAGGCGGATAGGAGTGAAATGTTCACAGCAGGTGAAAGACAGTTTCGAAACTCTTCAGGCAGACAACACTCCAAGTTGACATGGTGTAGTCTATTGGAATGAGGCTTCCAAAACCGAGGTAAGGTGGTTACGAAAGCAGTGTTCTAAGAGAAATGGCTCTAGTCGCCAAGGTAGTCTGAAGTCAACATTTCAAAGCAGGGGTACGGTGATTTCGACAGCAGTCGTCGGCTTGTAGACAAGGCGTTAGTTCACAAGGCCGGCAGAAGCGAAGCTTTCGAAGCAGTGGTAGCATGGTTATGACAGCAGTGCTCTTAGGCTTGAGCCCACAAGGCGGCTGGGAGTGAAGCTTTGAACGCAGAGGCAGGGTGGTTACGATGGTATTGCTCTTGTAGGAGACGAGGCTCTATTTGACAAGGTGGCTGGGAATGATTTTCGCAGCAGGGTAGGGTGGTTACATCGGCAGTGCTCGTCCAGTAGACAAGACTTACTTTTCGAGGCTCCTAGGAGTGAAGGTTTCGCAAAAGGGTTTTCCGTCCTAGTACATTACGTCCATATGGAGACAAGTTGGGGAACATGGCACTCAGCATCTATGGTGGTCGTCCTAGGCTCTGCTGTATGAATCGCATGTGGGAGCCTTTGGTCTATCATGGCGTGGTTGAGGTGGCACGCTGTGTGAGGCCATTCCTTGGCCTCTGACTTGCTGTACACGCTGGTATCTCCCAAGCCGCGTGTCGCCTAGGTGTAAAACTGTACATAACCTAGAACTGGAAAACAATGTCGATGTGAGTTCGGTATGAAAATTGTACTCACGTGTTTCGGCGACACTTTTCATACTTGAGCCAAGCCACACTTTGTCTGGCAAGGTGCTTCGATTCTTTGGAGGGACTGTAACCCCTCGACCAACGAATTTCAAAACATTTTGCGATTTTTTCGCTTTCCGGAGAGAATGCTCTCGGGGAGGGACTACGGTAAGGTTGAGGTGGATGCAAAAGCAGTACTCTTCTTGTAGAAATGGCTTCAAAGGCTTCAAAATAGTAGGCAAAGCGGGTAACTCAGTTACAACATCAGTGCTGTTCACAATGCTTGTATTTTTTTCGCGGCTGGCATTGACATTCTTACAACATGAGGAATGTGGTGATGACAGCAGTGCTCCTGCTAGTAGACGACGCCGTAGTTCACACAACGGCTAAGAGTGAAACTTTCATAGCAGGGGTAGTGTGGTTGCGGCAGTAGTGCTCTCATAGACAAGACCTTTGTTTGCGAAGCGGATTCGAATGGAGTTTTCACAGCAGCGGTACAGGTGACGACAAATGCAATTTTTTTCTAGTAGATATGTCTTCTAGTTTGAAGGCAGCTGGGATCGAAATTTTGACAGCAATACAATACTCTTTTGTAGACATGGTGTCTCGTCGACCAGGCTGGTGGGAGTGAATAGTTCGAACAAGGGGGTAGGTGTTTGCGACAACGGTACCATCTCAGTAGGCAAGGCCTCTGTTCTGAATCCGTTGGGAGTTTTCCAAAGCAGGTATACGGCGATTGCGACAGCTCTACTCTTCGAGTAGGCAAGGCTCTACTTCAGCGGCAGAAAAATTTCACAGAAGGGGGAATGTCGTTATTTCAACAGTGCCCTATTATGTTGTTGACAATGCGGCTGGGAGTGAAATTTGAAAGCAGGAGTACAGTGGTTACTACAGCAGCGCTCATATTTGGTGGACGACCTCCACCTCTTATAGAATTGGTTCCTCTTGAGAAGTCGGCTGAGAGGAAAGATTTAAAGGCAGGTGGGAGCTGGTTGCGACAGCAGCACCCTCCTAGTAGACAAACATCTAGTTCACAAGTTGACTGGGAGTGAACTTTCTAAAGCAGGGATAACGTGGATACCACAGCCGAATGGCACAAGGCTCTAGTTAACAAAGTAGGTGCAGGAGTGAATTTTTCAGGAGGGGGAATGTGGTTATATCAGTAGTGGTCTTTTCTGTAGACGAGTGGGAGTGAAGGTTTTGAAGCAGAGGTGGATGGTTGTGTCAGCATTACCCTCCTTGCAGTTTCCTAGTAGGCAAGGCTCCGATTCACAAGTTTGCTGGGGGAGAAATTTTCAAGCCAGGTGTGTGATGACTGCCACCGCAGTACCGTTCTAGGTATACAAGCCTCTAGTTCACATGGCGACTGGGTGGGAACTTTCCAATGCAGGGGTAACGTGGTGACGACAGCAGTGCTCTTGTACGGCAGAAGACTCTATTAATTGACAAGATGGCTGGGAGTGAAGGTAGCTAAGGTGGTTACGACAGCAGTCCTTTTGTAGGGCACAAGACTCAAGTGGACCAGTTAACTGGGAGGGAAGGTCTTGAAGCGGAGCTAAGGTGTTTACGACAGCAGTCCTCTTCCTGCCCAGGAGGTTCTAGTGGGCGAGGCGGCTCAGAGTGAAGTCTCCATGCATGGATACGGTGTACAGATAGTGCTCTTCTATTGATATGTAGTAGGCGAGGCAGTGGTGGGCAAGGAGTAATCCCAGCAGGGGTAGGCGTACGCCGAAGCTTGCTGTAATGGACAAGCGGAAGTTGTGCGATTCGCGCCAGGTGGTTACCGCAAGCTTTCCCCGGCCGTGGACTTTTGCGGTTTAAAGGTTTGGGATATTCGGCCTTTTCCAGTAAGTCAAGAGATGCACCACTTAGATGGATTCATTCGCCGTCTCAAGCTAGACGCTGCTGTGTCAGAAAAGGACCGAAAAATCATCGAATCACGAAGGACATGCAAATGAACCCGTTATCTCACCTCCTCCCCCCAACTGCTGTTCATGGGCACCCCTTGATACACATGCCAGTTTTGTCAAGTGCTACCATGGAGTGAACGAGGGATCCCTATTCCCGCTGAAACAAGGCCTCCTCTTCATGAAACCCGCGCTGTTTTTGCCTAGGGCCGACATCCAAGAGGTACGCTGTTGGTGTCGTATATTGTCCTAGGTTTTGTAGTATGGGCCCCCCTATCGTACTAGGTTTAGTATGAGGGCCCCTATTTACTTGAAGTACGGGCGCACTTTTCGAAGGGATTTCTGCACAGAAGCAAGGAGCGGCTCAAGTTCCTTGAGTAGAGAGAGTTTCACGAGTGAGAGACATGGGCGAGGCGAAGCGGAAGCTCAAACGTCAAGTCCGTCAACATCAAGCCCACAAACCCGCGGAGACTTCGGAGATGAACTTGCACTCTAAACCGCACCATGCGGTGTCCCAGGTGGTGTGCGGCCGCGGGGGCTCCTCGAGAACGCGAAACTCCCGAGATCTCGGAGAACTGCATCTTCCTGTAGATAAGCGCACCAGCACTCCAATCCACACATTCCGCACAATACCACATACACTTCCCAGGTGGTGTGCGGCCGTGGAGGCTCCGCGACAACGCGGTACGTGGACTTAGTGGTTGGCCTTGAGGCGGAGGACGAACACGGAGAACTTGTCGCCAAGCAGCAGCAGGAGTTCTCCAACATCGACAGAGACGCCCTGCCCAGCCTGCAGGTCTGTACCGTAGGCTGCATGACGCAAGATACCACAACCCCTGGACCTCTTAATTTGGTTGTGGTTGTAGTCTTTGTGGGTGGATGCACCGGATCATCTTGTCGCCACGTGTGCTGTTTTGATGGGGTGGTAACAGCGAGTACATAGCCCAGAATTCCGAACGAAATCTTGCGCTAGGACATTGTATGACCGTACACATGGACGTTACTGTCGACAGGATGTATGCGGCAGGTATGCTGACCTGAGATACCACACACCCTTCACCGATTGAGCAGAAGTTGGTTACTCTGTAGAAAAAACCGGTGGCGTTGCCGACAATGACGGCGTTGGAGCCCTCTCGTCGACAGGCTTTCCGCAAACCGCAAACGCATGATTCCGTTGTGACATCCTCTTCGTCGTATAAAAATCGAGCTTTGAAAATCGGTGCAGGGTGTGTGATTTATTGTGCATCCTACAGTATTTCTTGGGTGGATGCCGGATGACATTTTGTCCTGGTGTGACAACGGTGTTTAGCTCTCTCGTCGACAGGCTTTCCGCAAACCGCAAACGCATGATTTCGTTGTGACATCCTCTTCGTCGTATAAAAATCGAGCTTTGAAAATCGGTGCAGGGTGTGTGATTTATTGTGCATCCTACAGTATTTCTTGGGTGGATGCCGGATGACATTTTGTCCTGGTGTGACAACGGTGTTTAGCTCAGCATGTCTTCAAGGTATTTGTTCATAGGAGAGCATTCAAAGCATGTCGAGGGTGGACCTTACTTACGAGACTATACTGTCATCCCATACACATCGTGGAGGCGGGTCGATACTGGGTGTGCAGGTCCTGCGTCTTCTTTACGTGTAATTAAAATATCGTGCAGAACATACGAGTACATCCAGCGGAACATGGAGAGAATACTTCCGTCTTGTAGTGACGAAGAGCACAAAATCCAGCAGTACGATACATGCAACATCCGTGCCGAAGATAGGGTTGTTGTTTTCGTCCTATTTGTTTTGGCGACAGTCCCCTCATGTTTTCGTTGTGAGGCGTACTACACTCTTCAGTGTATGTAGAGTACTACGCTTTCAGCGTACTTTTTCGTACAACTACAACCATCCACGTTCACACTCGAGGGGGTACAAACCCCGCTACCAGAGCGAAACTTCGAGAAGGAGCGGTTCTGGGGGGTATTCCCCATGAGGTCATCCACACGTGGAGAGTCATCCACACAGCACTTCTATTGGCTCCATTCTGGTGTAAAAACTTTCTTACTCTACGTCACAGCTGGCTCCTGGCAGCCAAGCTGTTGGCTTATCCTGCTGCCTGCTTTATGTTTTCATCATTCATCACCCTGCTGTTTAGTGAGCCCACTCCCGAAGGATGTCTGGTATCAATGCTTTGTTTTGCCTACGCTGGCTCTTGTTTCCCGCATGATTTTACCACCACCATGGCGTACCAGAGCTACATCCAGGATGCTCTCGTGGCACCTCGGCGCCGCGAGGCCAAGAGGGAAGCAAAGGCCGCCGCAGCCGCGGAGCAGAAACAGAAGGCTGCCGCCAGCACCGTCCCAGCGGAAACAATATCGCCCGCTCCGGCGACCGCTGTGAACGCGGGGGGCTCCGCGGAGTGTGCCGCGAAGGTACCCCAAGAAGACGGAGAAGACGAAGAGGAGGAGGACGACGGCGATGCGGAGGTGACCGGTTGTAGTTGTCATGGGCAAGGTCATAGGAACTAAGCTGCCAACTGCATACCCTTGGTGACCACAGGTAGCATAGCCTCGCTCGGTGGAGGAATAGGTTGACCGTAACCCACAGTTTATGCTTAAGGTACGTTTTGCTTCATTGACACGCGCGTGCAGCATTTCTCAACTGTGAGATTCCGCCGACGTGTGCGTCCGCTCGCACATTCATGCCGAAAAATGGGGCACGCACGACCATCTGTGTAGCGCCTATGTAACCACTACCCTCGCTCTCTGCTTCCGATCCATTCGCACTTCACTTGACCCGTATTCAGTCCGACGAGGATTTTTCTCCCGGTGGGGGGGGAGACGCCGATAGCAATGATGACAGCGACAGCAACAGCGACAGCACCAGCGACGACGAGGACGACAGCGATGCCGATGGTGGTGGTGATGGTGACAGCGAGAACCATGATGACGGGGCCGCAGCTAGGGCTGAGGCCCTGAGAGAGCTCGACGAGCTCGCTAAGGAGGCCGCCGGCGGCGGCGGCGGTGGTAGTGGCGGTGGCGGCGGCGGCAGCGGCGGCAGCGGCGGCGGTGCTGCCAGTGCCGAACGTACTGCAGACGGCGGCGACGGCAGCAGCGGGAAGAGAAAGAAGCGGCCTGTGGACGAGGGCGTGCAAAGAAGAGACGACGACGACGACGACGCAGAAGACACTGAGAGCGACGGGGATCGAGGAGGTCGCCCGCGCAAGGTGCAGAGGTAGAGAAGGGCACAGAGCTTCGAGCATATTTCGCTTCTGCTGGTGTTTGTTTTTGTCTCGTTGCGAGTTGAGTACGAAATGGTTTGACGTCCATCCAGAGATGTAGGAAGAGTCCAATGTTTCTTGCATTATTTTCGATCCGTATCGGTTTTCGGAAGTCCATCCAACGGGACCAGGGGTCGCAATCCTCTCTTCACTGCACGAAGCGTTCAACAGAAGCCACGCGAAGGGTTTGTTCGAGTCCCAACCGGTCTTCCTAGGACTTCAGGTTCTTCTTCCTCGTTGGACGTGGCCCTGGGCATGGGCCACTCGCTCCAGCTGAGGTCGCCGGAAGTCGAATCAGACGACAAATTAGTAGCAAATGAACTTGGAGGTACCGCCCCGTCAAACCGTGATTATACCGCTTTGGCATCCATGAAGATGACAGCTCAGTCTGGCGATACACATGGCCCATCAATAGCTTTGACCGTAGTGGTTGCGGGGCGAAATGCCAGAGATTTCTGCGGACACCTCTGCGCGCATTTCGGCGTAATCTGTCGAATTCGCGTTGCCAACCGGTGCGCAGCAGACTGTCGGGTACGTGCTTGTATTTTTTTCGCGTTGTATTACATAGTCTAGTCTAGGAAGACAAACATCGAACGCCGGACAGCACGGATGGGTGAGAGAAATCGACCCGAGAGTCGCAGTGTTCGCACGTGATCCTAGACGCTCGCGCTGAGGAAGCATCAAGCGCACACACAACAGTGCCATGCCGCAAAGATTGTTGGAAAGAACGGCACAAGCGAGATAGGTAGGTGCTGGTCGAATGGTGTGCCTTCGTGTAGAGGGCACGCTCGATGGTGAGGGATCGAAGGAAGAAGAACGTGTATGTTTTTATCATACGATCGAGCGCGCTAACCGACGGACCAATGAAACGACGTCAGCCTCAGTGCGGTTGAACACACAAAGAGGTCGTTGCGTCTATGACCTATGATCCCATAAGGGGGTGTCATGGGCAAGGCGATGCTACTCTCTTCAGATTAATGACAGATTCGTTTTTACCTATGGATCTGTATCCCGCCGGGGGAAATCCGACCCGGGGCTGCTGCGCGCAAGGGTCTGGAATTGCCAAGTCCCCAAATGGGACTCGACCATTGAACTGCGCTGTAGGCAATACACCCCAATGGTTACCCTAACCCTAACCAAAGGATGTAAGGACTTTATACCATTCCCCCACCTCGGAAAGAAAGGCGATGGGTAGGAGGGAAAAAGTCACGCTGGTAGCTGACCATGTATTTCTGTAGCCACCTCTATCTGTACTTGCCAGCGCCTCAATCCTTTGGCGTGCTCACGTTCGTCGAAGTCCTCTCTCGCGCTCACATGCGTAACGACCTACGAGGTTGGTGCTCGTCTGGCCTGTGGTCTCTCCACTCCGCTCGCGATCTGAGAATGGCAAAATGAAATAATGGGGGCACGCGAAATCTCCTCGACTGCTGTACTCTTATTTTTTTTTCTCCCATCATTGGACTCTGTCGTCTGCCCCACTGGCCCCTATCCTCCACTTCTACCAGCTAGACGACCCAACCGGGGTCACCTAGGAGGCAGGGGCTGGACCCCCTCCTGGGGTTCTTGCCTGGGTTATTTTTTTGCGACAAGGGTACAGCAATCCCTTCCCTCGCGACTGATGAAGTCAATCAAGTTTAGTCTACTAACAACGAGCTTTGCAGCAGCGCGTAGCCTCCATCGGAGACCAGGATTTAATAAGCGAGAAAAATCTCACTCTGTCGGGACTCGAACCCATGACCTGGCCCTTAGCAGGGTGCGAGGCTACCCACTAGACCACGGGGGCGACCGGTGTACATGAATCTTCCCATTCCTGGCTTTCTAATGCTGATGATGCGTTACCAACTCTTTCAGTTACAACGGTACGTCACTTGATTGGTCTCCGACGACAAACTTTGCTACTTCTAGAGAACACAAAAACCATCGATCAATCAAAGGGCGCCTTTTCCTAGTACCCAGATCATTCCCACGCACACACAACCATTGCAGCCAAACCGCTACTATTGTTGACGACATGGGTGTATTCGGTCGTACCCTGGGATGGCTCAAGACTGCCGGTGCCAGCATCTTGTGAACTCCGGTTGAGATGTGAGTGCCGTAGTTGGTTGTTGTTGTTGTTGTCGTCACATCACAAACTGTTCCGATCTTTCTCTACCCAGTACATCCGTATGTCCGTACTGATCCAACACTCGACGCGGTCGATTCCCGTGGTCGCAGGCTAACTTACCCTAAAAAGGTACATTCAAATAAACTGGCCCCGAGGGATCCGCAAGTCAATAGAAGTCTACGACAGATATTCTGGAGTCCTCCACTCCCATTGCGCGCTATGCAAGGTATAACAACTGTGACTAGGAGTCACCATCACGGGCCGGAGAGAAAGTGGTACACCCCCTTGGTTCAATCTTGGTACTTCACAACGCAAGCAGAGACAAGGCCATCTGGCACAGAAAAGGAGAGAAAAAAAAAAAACAGAGAAAAAGAGAAGAAAATAAATAAACAGTAAAAGGAAAGAAAAAATGAAATGAAAAAGGGCGAGGACAGAAAGGGACCAGGCCGAAAATAACAAGAAATAAGAGACAGAAAAAGGCACACGGTGGAGAGACCACTAACGAATAAGCAAACACGCAAACATGGCCACCAACCAGCGATACATTGTTATGGTACGTCATCACTAGTCGGGGGTTGGTGCAATGGTGCAGCGTTGGGGGGGGAATTGGCCAAAAGCAATCCAATCCGGCACGTATCGCGCCACTCGGTCCGTCTCTTCTCGTTTGTTTTCCTTCCTCGCCGTCTCATTCTTCTCCTGCCCCCCTCCCGCCTCATTGTTTGTTGGCTTTTGTGGTTGTTTGCGGCCAACGCCACTTATTTATCGGGTGAGACTGTTGGTGATGTATAAACTTCACGAGAGGTAGACGACCGTCCTTCACACGGGCGAAAGAGGGAGTGCTCGAAGAGCGGCTCCCAAAGCAAGGAGGGGCCCCGCGAATCATCGCGTTGCCCCCTACCAAAAGGCAATCTTACCAGTCTGCGTGACACCATATCATCCAGCACATGTATCCAACACCAATGTTCACAGACTCACGAACAGTGGCTTCGTTTGAGCGCCCGTTGTCAGCTGGCCTCTTCTTCCTTCTCGTGCCAGGAGGTCATGAACCTCTCAGCTCCCTGCAGCACCGCTGCATGCCAGGGTACTCCCCCCTCCACCTTCACGGCTTCCGTCCACTTTAACTTCGGTGCCGTGCCTTTCGGTACCGGGATTCCGAGACAACATGGATCGGTTTTCGTAGATCCGTGGTCGGCCCCGAATGCCTTCAGGTCGTCGAGCACACCATTCGGCCAATTCTGTTCCTGTCCCCCCCTACGTATCCAATCCCCCCCTGCCAGTTCGCCGAGCATCAGTCGTTTCGGGAGTCACCCATAACAGCATATTGGTGAAATTGAGAGCGAAGCATCTGATTGAGAGCGAGATTGCGCGATGCGCTGCAACTGGACTACTGCTGAGAGGTGGAGCTTGCTGTGTAGCTTCAATTGAATGTCCAGTCCGTAGCTACAAGCAGATACCCTGGTCATCCTGTGGGGGTCTCTCGATGTGGAGTTACAGCGGCGAGCAGAAGCTACAGCAGAGCCCACCGCCCGAGGCCAACCGCCCTGCAACAGTTTGAGGCAGGAATAGCCAATCTGGGGAAATCTAGCGACTTGTCTAGCTCCTAGCTGCAGTATCCGATGACGATGACACGCATATGCTCGTGACGCTGCTGATGAGACCTTCAATTTGCGCCGCTTCTTGGAAGAGCCCGCTCCCTACTTCCCAAGAAATAGGACGTCTGGACCCGAATTCTATTTTTTTTGGCTCTCGTTCTCAATTTTATGCTTCGCTCTCAATTTCACCAATATGTTGTTCCATCCGGCTGCCTTGCCAATGCTGCCGCGAACAGTAGGCGTCGTTGTCGGATCGTGGCTTCAACGCTTTGGCATTCGACCCTCTTCAGCGTCTCGGCGTAAGAGAGCTGCCGGTAGGTAGGTGTCTCTCTTGCGCTTGTACCCGAGAACTCGAAGGAGCAGTCGGTGATGTATCGACCGCAGCGCCTGATAGTGGCCGCTGAGTGGTGACCATATCATCAGTCGTACGCAGTGCCTTCATCACCTCCGCCTGGAGCAGGCGGATCTTGAGTCGTAGTGGCGCTTTCGGTCTGTCGAAGAGCTCCCGGCCATCTCGCCTGAGGCGCGCCCTCTCTCCTCTGCTCCTGTAGTTGATCTCCCGGGTGAGGTGGCGATGTTCGTTGACGAGGACACCGAGGTACCGGAACTCTGTCGTCTGGGCGTATTTCTGTCCCGCGGCTTCGATGGTCAGCGGTGGAGGCGGAGCGGGGTGTTATGTTGTAGTCGGCTTGTCCTTCGCGCGCATTAGGAGCGTCTCCGTCTTTTTCTCCGACACCGTCAGCCCGAACTCCCCGAACACCTCAACGATAATGGTCATCATCCTCGCCAGTCCTCTGCAAACCTCGATACGACGCCGGCATCATCGGCATACAGCATCCCCCATACTGCCCTCCGAACTCGGTCAAGGGGCGTCTCCTCCCCCGCCCCCCGCTTCCGTCTTCCTCNCGTATTTCTGTCCCGCGGCTTCGATGGTCAGCGGTGGAGGCGGAGCGGGGTGTTATGTTGTAGTCGGCTTGTCCTTCGCGCGCATTAGGAGCGTCTCCGTCTTTTTCTCCGACACCGTCAGCCCGAACTCCCCGAACACCTCAACGATAATGGTCATCATCCTCGCCAGTCCTCTGCAAACCTCGATACGACGCCGGCATCATCGGCATACAGCATCCCCCATACTGCCCTCCGAACTCGGTCAAGGGGCGTCTCCTCCCCCGCCCCCCGCTTCCGTCTTCCTCTCCTCCAAGCACACAAGGCTCCGCAGAACAACATCATCCTCGCTGAATCGGATGACAACGACCTCGAGGACCTCGACGAAGAACATGCTCAACAGCAGTGGGGATAGCACACATCCTTGTCGCACGCCCTGTGTCACGAAGAACCAGTCCGATAGTTAGTTCTCCGTCGTCCATGCGCACCCGGGCCCGCATTCCATCGTGGAATTGGCGGATGACTTCGATCAGCTTCGCGGGAATCCCGGCCCTGGTCAGCACCTTCCATAGCATCTATCGGTCCACCGAATCATACGCCTTCTTCAAGTCGAGGAAACACATGTAGAGAGGTATTTTCTTTCTCCGCCCCACCTCCTGGAGGCGGCGCACGACGAACAGCATCTCGACAGGGGTAAGCTAGACAGAGCAGCGCGCTATACGTCCATTCGGTACCGAAAACCTCCGCATGGCAATATTGACTTCCAAACGCTCATCATGGCAATTGTGTCTTGAGGAGCTCGATGCTGGGCAGTTCAATGCAGTATACATGCGAGCCTGTATTGCATTTGTAAATCGTGGCTAACCACGCGTCTTCTCTTCCCGTCATCACGCTTGAACATAGCACGTCCGCCGCACCAGAGCCCAACGCCGTCAGGAGTATACTTTTCATCACTTAATCTGTGGAAAGTGTATACTATGATCATGACGGCAGTCCTTCGACAGTTTGATGCTGATATCCGGTGCTCATGCAAGGTGAAGGCGCGGTGGCCGGTTCCTTGAACACCAAGTTTGTAACGAGGACGGTGCTGATGAGGACGCGGAAGACGAACAAGATGCCGCCGCCGTCGCCGCCGCCGCCGCCGCCGCCGCGCAAGAGGCTGCACAGAAGGTGCGGCAAGACCAGACGATGACGTTTACCAACGAGTGTGGAATCTGGTATTGATCCATTGTTCCAGCGGCTTCGATTCTGATGTTCATGATCGACGCTGTTGACAGCCTTCCACTTCTCCTCACGTTTGATTGTCATCCGAGTCTGCGCGGTCCTGCTTATAACACGTTTCTAGGACGAGCGCGTGGCCGCCCTGGAGGAAGAGAATTCCACGCTGCGGTCGTTGAACGAGCGTCTTGACGGGGAGGTGTTGGGGCTTCGGGACACGTGGGGGCTCGCAGACGTGTGTGTATGTCGTGGTTTTCCCCCGCTCTGAGAGAGAGCTGAGGTGGCTTGGGGAACGGTTTTACCATAGGCCTGGTCTTGGAAAGCGTTGATGCAGATATAGAAGTGTCTGCTGGAACTCCCACCTATCAGGCAAGATTCAATTGTGACTGTTGAGTATCCAACGCTTGCATCTCACGCTTCCCGTCATCTCGTCCATAACCTGGGGTTGAACAATGACGTCACCAGGCCGCACGGGATTTGGCCAGCCAGCAGTCAGATGCCTAACAGAGGGATCATGCCCAGGTCGGGGTGGTGAAGGGCCTCTCGCGTCTAAGGGTACCCCGGAGAACTAGTTATACCCTGCTGGTTCCCTGTGCTCCAACACACTCCCAAAATATAGTCTAGTCTGTGGTTGGACCGTGGTTCGTCTCTAGTTAGGGTTGATTGCTGACGGCTTCCAACCCAGTGGGTGCCTGTGGTTATGATGCGGCTCGCTGTGTTGTTATTGTACTTCCTCCGCCCCAGAAGTTAAGCCCGACTTCAGACTTTTCTGAAAAGACTGGTCTATAGTCTATGTCGTTCAATTCTTCGACTTTTTTGACGCGTTTTTTTTTGCTGCTGTCGTCAAGTTCTCGAGCAGAGCTCAAGACCGAGGTCTTTTCTGAGCCTCCGTAAATACAAGCACCTATACTCTCGGCAAGCAGAGGGTGTCGGTCGCGAACAAGGGGAATCAACCGAAGTGAGCGGTCCCAACTGATTTCGGAGAAACGGTGTTTTTCACGGTTCTCGCGGCGTTTCGAAGAAACTCCGAAAACGTCGTTTTTGCCGAGGGCGCCTTCCGCGCTAGAGTGTCGAGCGATNCAAGCACCTATACTCTCGGCAAGCAGAGGGTGTCGGTCGCGAACAAGGGGAATCAACCGAAGTGAGCGGTCCCAACTGATTTCGGAGAAACGGTGTTTTTCACGGTTCTCGCGGCGTTTCGAAGAAACTCCGAAAACGTCGTTTTTGCCGAGGGCGCCTTCCGCGCTAGAGTGTCGAGCGATCCAGTTGATGATGTTCCCCGAAGACTAAAGCTCCAAAAAGTGTGTCAGGGTGCTTTGGTGGGTTGTAGGCCCAGTTCCGCGGGTTAAATTGAGTACCCGACGTCGGGATGTTGAGGTTTCAGCGATATGTAGTGTATTATACTGCAGAATGTATGAAAAAAAAAAACGGGGATGGGGCTAAAACGTCCCCCCCCTTTGGAAAAAGGCGATAAAACGTGTTTTTAAGGCCATTTCAAGCTCATTTTTTTAAGCGATTTGATGCGTACCGCGAAGATTGACCACAAATACCCTGTATAACATATGTGGACATTTATTTCACCGACGTGCTTGAAAATAATGTATGTTGTGCATTATATATGTAGAAAAAGACGGNAAAAAAAAAAACGGGGATGGGGCTAAAACGTCCCCCCCCTTTGGAAAAAGGCGATAAAACGTGTTTTTAAGGCCATTTCAAGCTCATTTTTTTAAGCGATTTGATGCGTACCGCGAAGATTGACCACAAATACCCTGTATAACATATGTGGACATTTATTTCACCGACGTGCTTGAAAATAATGTATGTTGTGCATTATATATGTAGAAAAAGACGGCCCATTTCGGCGACAAACCGTGAAAGTATCAGCCACAGACGCCGGCAAATTTTTGTTTTCTCCTGCTGGAAACCCTTCTTTGATATCCCAAACCGCCAAAGGGAGACGACCTGCCGCTGCATATGAACAGCAACATGCAACAAACAGCACACAGCAACAAAAAAAGTACAAAAACTGCAACAAAATTACCCCAAAAAACAAAAGAACATGGAAGAGAACAAGGCGCCAAACACGAGAACATGACGTGCACCACCGACACCCCTCAATTCCCTACACCACAAGACGCCCGAGTAACCTTGTGCTTGCCCGACACAGCCTTCACCATACCCACCATCCCCGCGTACTTCTTGGCCGGGACGCAGTCGTCGTAAGCTCCAACACTACACTTCGAGCAGTAGCACGACGCCTGGCGAACGCGTAGCTTGTATCGCTTCGTGACAGCCGGAAGCGTCAGAACGGTTGATTTGTCCGCCTGCTATCTCTGCGGGTTAGCTACAACCTCTTTCTCGCCACCTACGAGTAAAACCCCGTTCTCTTTCTGCACCTCTACGCCTACGCCCGAGCTCTCCTCCTCCTGGACCTCCGCTCCCATGAACTGGTACAGCTTGGAACTCCCAGAGATGCCCGTCAAATCTACGAACGGGCGAGGGATCTCTCGGTGTCCAA